TTCCAAAATCAGGTTCCTTTTCCAGGCATCCGGACCAGGAAATCTCCCGCAGTCACAGCAGATAACGGCATATGGGTATCAACAAGGAATGCAGAGCTCAAACTCTCCAACGTACTTGTCGCCTCAACAACAACAACAACAACAACAACAAGGAAGAGGAGGCCTTGTGTCGTCACCAGTTTACAACCCAAATACTGTGCAAGGCCAAGGTGTTGGTGCTCAAAGCGCCCCTGGAGGAATTCAATATCAACCAGTGAATCAGGCAAATGGAGCTTATAACGGTGCGAACACGGGATACCAGACAGTAGCTATGACTGGCTATTCCCAAACAGGAGGTGGCTCCAACACGATTTCCAATCAGGCTGCGAATCCTTCATCTGTTCCAGTGTCACAAGGCGCTCAAGGAAGGGGTCAGCAGAACTGGAACTCGCAGCCATACAATGGTGCATCCGGTGGGTACATTACTAATCCGTCAGGGAACCCAGCAGCGGGAGGCCAAAATCAAGGCCCGTACTACCCCGAACAACCCCAGAGAGACGGCCAGATGATTACTATGGGACAATCTACGCCCTACCAGATCACAGAGAACTATGACGGAGCACAAATGGTGACAGGGTCGTCGCCAGGTAGTCGAACGCCAACGACAGCTCCTCCACCTTTTACACAGGCACCGTATTCGCAATCCAATGTGCCCAACCAGGGAGTTTTCCCCACGGCACCTATCAATGTCTATCCCGCAGAAATGTCCACCACTAACGGAGGAGCTCAAGGGTACCAGTCCAGCGCTTCTGCGACGCCCTATACGACAACACCTTTTCCGTATGGATCCACTCAGCATCCAAATCAGGGACTCTATTCAGAAAATGTCATAAGTCCCAGTCAAGGCATATATGGCACTTCTACGAACTACGGCCCAAGCACGCAGTCAGGCAGCAGTATGAGTACTGGACAGTACACTCCATCTCCGTATCAGACAACTGGACCACAACCGTCGTCCAGTGGATTCACGCCTTCTGGCCAAACTGCGCAATACACTAATCAGTATGATCAGGGTCGAATGCAGACTACTCAGTACGGCGCCACATCACCTCAACCACCTTCATCCGATTATCGAACGAACAACCCTCAAAATCAAGCTGTTGCGGTGACTCCCCCAAGTCAACAACCTTTCTATGATGGATCGCAGGGTAAACTCAACCCCCGGCTGGGCTTCTGCCACATCATCTGGCACCCTCCACGTATAACTACCAGACAGTTGGCCCTCAAAGCCAACCTCTGGACTCTTCAGTGGGCTTCAGCCCATCAACTCAACAACCTCCCTACGGTTATCAAACAATTAGCCCTGATAGGCCGAAACACAGCCACTTCATATCCCAATCAACACCCCCGCCATACCTAAGCGATGCAAAGCTCGACATGTGGTCAAACACAAAATTTTACTTCTTACCAGGCCGGGTTCGTATCTTCCTACACCAAACAGAACCTACGCAACGACGGAACGAGTCGCAAACGGGGTAAGCACTTGGCATTTATCTTTTGCTGGTCATGAAACTTTCAATTGTTCCATTCCAAACAGCTCTACGGGCAGAACGCATATGGAGACTTCGTTCAGCCGACAGTACAACCACAACAACAGCCGTACTCCGCTGGACAATCATGCTCCATTTGTGGTGAGGGCGTTTGTGATTTATGTTGTGTGAAACCAGTGTGATCACCTCACCCTTTAAAGGCATGTGCCCACCGGATAATTTTCCTACTTAGCCTAAAATGGCTAGCAGCAGCGCGCGCCTAATGTAGCTGGGGATCCAATGTTCCGCGAATTCTTGACGGTGAGTTGAATTACGTGCTCAAACGTTCGGCGAGCGCGAAATAAGGCTTCCGTTGCTCACCGTGAACTTGTAAATCAGATTTGGACGAGTTTATCTTGTACGCATCTTAGCCAATCAGCCGCGCTAATCCGAAGACTAGGCCTGCATAGTGCTACCCATATATGCACCTTCAGCATCACGTGGGCCGCCTTATACCATTATCTACCCCTTTGCTTCATAATTTGCTCAGCAAATGAATGAATACGAGCGTCAGAAACGGTCGTCCGTTTGTGGGCGGGCGGGCAAGGAAGGCGTTTTGGACCTGCGGACGTCAAAGTGCTTAGCCTTCAATAGGGGCGTTATAGGGGTACCCTTCTTGGAAAAGGCTTCACGCAGCGCCTGTCCGAGGTCACGGAATTCTGTTAAGCCAGTTGTACAAATCCTACACCTGTATAGCGATTTATCGTGCCAACTGCCTTTAACGATATAATTCTACATTGTTCATAGTAACAATTGGTCTGAAGTTGCTTCCTAGGCTGCGTTTATTTTGCGAAGAGCTCCCTCACAATCAGCTTAACTTGGTGAGCTGTGTACGGGTCTCCTAGATTTTTTGGTCCCTGCACTTAGAAAATCGCAACCTGCGTAAAAAACGTGAACGATGGACCATTGACTAGAGGACCTTTCGAGCTATTGAGAAGAGTAGCATTGCATGATGGTGTTCAGAGGAAGCACAAGTTTGGCTTAGTGATTCGAGTGAACTTTCATAATGTTCCCGCAGCAACAGTAGTCGCACTGTTACTGGAAAGCTTCTTGCCTGCCCTTAACTTTAGCAACCACAATTTGACCGAATGCTTTTCGGTTTTGAACTCGGACTCGAGATAAGCCTTCAGCTTAAAGAAGCGGTGATTTCAGGCTGGGTCAGCTGGACAATACGATTTCAACGGAGCCGCGCAACAGGAAGGTTACGGCACGACTCAAGGTGACTGATTTGCTTTGACGAAAGACTGGAAATCATGTGGTATCCAAATATTTTAGTACTCTAGATAGACCCCGAGCTGTTTCGCTTTGAAAGTAGGGTGAAGGGTTAAGTGGCCTAAGACGCGATAGAGCAGTTCAGCAGGTATGCTCTCTCACCCCCGTGTTGCATAGGAAAAACCTGTTCGAAAGATAGCAGAGCACACAATACCCCGACTCAACGCTGAACAACAAATAGGTCGATCTGTGTTTCTTTCTGCTTCTGTTTTTTCGACACACGGGACGTACACAATCGATTATTGTGATCTGATGGAATTTTCAGTGGACATCCAACCGTTAGAGATAGATTAGTAGAATAAAGTGAAATTTCATAGGGGGTAGGAGGTATGTAGACTCAACGAGATACCTTAGTTTCCGCTCCCAGGTGCCCTCGGACGGAACTAAACGGTTAGGGTATGATCTCCCTTTGGGTCCATCAGTAAGGGAAGGAAGGTACAAAGAGTCCGGAAGTGACAATTGAAATTTCACAATGGAACTTTGACGGCGCACTTAGATGCTGAGAGGTGAGACCTACGGAACTTCACCTTTGGAAGTGATTTTAGCAGCTACGAGGGGTGTTCAGTACATGGAGTACGTAGGCAGAAAATTCTGAATGAAATTTGATTTTCAATATAGTCCCTCACAACTTCAATACACTTGTTTGCTGGGGTTTTTGATAACCTCTAAAAATATTTCTTTTCCCTTGTCCCGTCAGAAAAAGGCTTTCCACGGAGATCTTCTTTTCAGGTTGGGGAACAAGAACTAATCGCTAATCATTTCCTCGATTTTCTTTTCATTTTTTCTCTTATTTCTTTTATTTTTCT